TAAGACCACTTACACTTTTCTTGTTCTTTAAATAAAACAGTGATTCTTTAAAAGTATGTGAAGGCCCTAATTTCATTCATTCAAAAGACATTTATATTGAGAACAAACTATGTCAACACACTACAACAGGCTCAAGGATTAAAAAAAAAATACAGTACCCACACATAAGGAACTCAAAGTACAATGGGAGACAGAAATATTTAATTATAATACAACGTGGTATAAGAGCAATGATACAGAGAAGCTGGAGAGGAGGTTTATATATGGTAGCAGATATTATGAGGGTACATAAGCAACTGACACGTGGTAAGAGAAACGGGCAAAGAAAGAAACATTGGGAACAGAAACACACTGAAGGGCGGTGTGACTGAAATGAAACTCAAGAATGAGGCAGAGAAGAAATGATTAATAAGACCCTTGAAAAAACAGATGAGCAGCTTCTGAAGGGTGAAATTAGGTGCCAAACATAGCAGTAAAGACTGAAAAAGAGTACAAAGGATTTAGCAAGTGGAGGTTACTGGTTGCCTGAGAAGTTACCAAGTTGTGAGTATAAAAGTTAGACTACAATGGGATGAGGAGTCCATAGAAAATAAGAAGTCTGGATAAGAAAGGAAGACAGCACAGTAACTAGAAGAATTCAAGATAAAAAAGAGATTCTTTTTAAGATGAGAAGGACGTAAATAGGTTTTCAGGCTGAAGGAAAAGAGTAAGTAGAGAGGAAGAAGTTGAAGAGTGGACACATAGAGATGGTATAAAAGAGCAAGAACCCAGGAAAGGTAGAATGGACACAGTCAAGGGCATGGCTGGAGAAGGTGGAGTTAAACAGGAAGTGAGGTATCCCCACCTCCTCTACCAAAACCAAAGGAAAAAGAGTAATGATGGCAAGGCGGTGAGAGAAATCCATATGTGGGGGAGGGGACAGATAGCTGATGATAGCATTCCTAATAACCAATTTTCTCATATATGATTCTTCACTTATTGTGACAAAGGCACTGGCAAGCAAAAGTGATTCTTAAGACAAGTCTAACTTGATAATGGTTGCAAATACGGAATTACACAAAAATTACACAGTCATTACATTACGTAAGAGTCAAAGGATCAGTTTACAGACAAAGTACCTTCTGTGTGATTTCACTAAAGCCAGTACAGGATGTATTTTTGATCAGCCCTAACAGCTGAGATGCAGTAGGAAAAATGATCTACAACTAGAGTTGGCAAACTTTTCCTATAAAGGGCCAGACAGTAAATATTTTTTGGATTTGCAAGTCATATAGTTTCTATTACCACTATTAAACTCTACTGCTATAGCATTAAAGCAGCCATAAACAATGCATAAACAAATGGGCGTAACTGTGTTACAATAAAACTTTACTTACTGATGAGTGGGTTTGGCCCACAGGCCTTAAATTTGCTGACCCTTTTTCTCTAGGCTAAGAATAAATACTACAAAGGAAATGAAGCAGTAGAAAGAAGCATGAAAGAGAATGGAATAAGAAGTAGAAGAGAAGCCAGGGAACTCAAATATAATTGAGCTGGTATACTAAATCAAAGAGCAAAATACAAATAAAGGAGCAACAGGAAGAGCAGAAAGAGAGCGAAGGAGAAAAGCAGATGAGAAAGAGACACTGGAAAAAGACAGGAAACCAAGTAAAAAGTGAACAGAGATAATATGCCAATTCTCAGGTAGACAGATATAGAGACAAAGGCAGTTGAGTCCTAAAAAATAGATGGCAAAATGAAAAGGGGAAAATGAGGGCATCCCAGATCTGTGTGCACTGGAATTGAAATAAAAGATAAAACACCAATTTTCCAGTGATAATCTGATGATCTCTTCTAATTATGCATGTGCAAAAGGAACCCACGGCTTGCAAGATGTAAAGCTGTTTTTCATTTTGCCCATAGATCAAACTGGTATGTGTATAACATTCAAGAGCTCAGATGAAACTTATTCACCATAAGAAGATATCAATTATTTCTAGGCCTTTTATTCATTTGCATATGTATATGAATAAAAACTTTAAAAACTTATTGAGATCAATAAAGTTAGCATTAAAAAGTTAAAAGCCACATTGACCTTACTAACTTTAAAAAGTTTCCCCCAAAAGAAAGCCAAAGATTTAAAGAGGAAAAGAACTTTGAAACAATATAATAACCTGCATATTTATACTGTATGAAAAGTTTTTCACTTTTGGCTTTATTTGTGGGGAAATCTTTTAAGGTAAATTCAGATTAATTCTGACACAGCTCAGCTAAACAACAAACCAGACCACATAGTTTATGTCTCTATAGTACAATGCTTAAGAACATGACTTGGGGTTAGAGAGCACTGGCTCTGTGTCCTCACTTTACCAAGCTGCTTAATCATGTCTTAGTTCCCTCATCTACAACATGTGGGTAATAGTCATACCCACTTCGGAAAGTTATGAGAATTAATTTTAAAATGCACATACAATACTTAGCACAGAGTCCAACGTGTAGCAAATGTGCTCAAATTTTAGCTAAGTATTATCAACCTTAAGAACTGGATAGTTACAGAAGAGAATTATAAGATAAAACCTCAGAAAGGAATTTCCCTCTTCTTCTAGGAAGCTATAATGTAATGTTAGTTTTTTTTCTTCTTATCACTCATTCACTTCTATTAATCCTTTAAAAAACAAAAACCCTCAATCCATGTACCCATTTAAGTTGTAAAAAAGTAGCATCAAATTAATACCAGCAGGGACTATTCAAGATAATCTCCAATACTAAGACAGAAAGAGCACTGTGATGACGTAAGGAAAGAAAATATAAATCCTCAGGAG